CAAGGTGAGATGTAATTTCTAAAATTATATAGAACATTTCGTATTTTAAACAAATCTCATGGAGTGTGTTTGTAATTTACCCAATAAATTGTGTGGGGAAATATTTTCTGAGTACCAACACGTGGCAAGGTGACGCCGACGTGTTAGCCGAGGTGCCACGTGTCTTGGTTGTTGTGCCGAGGTCATCTCGGCTAGGCCGAGGTTGCCTCCGAGGATATCGGAATCCGAGATAAGCGGATAAGGGGCAAGAGTCCTAGAATGAAGAGGAAACTCAACTTGGATAAGGACAAGAGTCCTAGATTGGTAGAAGACTTCAGTTTGGGTAAAGATAAGACTCTTAGAGAGTTTATCCTAAATCCACTGGGAGTTCCAGATTAGCAGTAATCCTAAGTCCATTAGGGCCAGGCTCCTATTGGGACTAGGATTGGATTGGCTATAAAAGAGAGGCACCCCCATGGGTCTAAGGTATGCTTTTTATACTCAAGCTTGTGAGTTTAGTACTTGATTTATCTTTGAGAGATATACTGACTTGATCGTCGGAGTGCCCCCGGGTGGTCGAAACCACCGCGGGATTCTTATAATTCTGTTGCAGGTCAGTCAGGTGTCATCTATTCTGTCAGTGCTCTTCAGCTGGTTACTAAGCGGGCAGTGTGGTCGGAAAATCACCCACACAAATTGATACACTTTTGCTAACTCATTCTATATGAATTTTTGTACAAAGTTTTTATTTGTATATCATCTTTCTTTTCTTTTCTTTTTGTGTCCTTCTATTTAATAGATAACTCCATACCATATTATTAGTGGTAGGTTACACTAACCTCCCTTGAGTGTAAAAAAAAATATAACATATTTCACAATTTTAATATAATTATATTGACATTCTTTTTAGTGCGACCAGTGTTGGGTTCACAGGCCACCGACCTTGTGCCCTAACCAGGATTGCGCATGTCCAGTCTATTGTCAATTGGAGACAAAACTTAGCCAAAAATAAAAATAAAAATAAAAAAACAAATTTTAAATGAATAATGTTATAAAAATAAAAAGAATTATACGCAATGATGTGACTTATTAAGAACCATTCATTTCAAAACAAAATACCATTTTTTGGATGAATTAAAAAAAACGCCATTAAATATGCATTTATTTATAATAATGATATTGTCACATCATTCTCGTGAAATATTTATAAATTGAGCATTTTTTGGATGAATTAAAAAAACACCATTAAATATGCATTTATTTAAAATAATGATATTATCACATCATTCTTGTGAAATATTTATAAATTGAGAAATAGTCCATCCCTCATTTCATCACCCACTCCCAATTGCACCTCTAATGAGGCGGCAAACAATACTAACCAATCAACTCCTTTCAACATTCTTCCCTCCTTTCAAAATTGTTTGCCACCTTATCTATATATCTACATCTATCTATCTATATATTATATAAGGAAAATTGTGTTTTTAGTGAGGAGCCTTGTGAGAGTTTCAATATCTCATACTACTAATTTTTTATTGATTTTCTTAATTTTAAATGACTAAGAAAATCTCTATTGGCTAGCTTTTATTTGATAATCCCACATGGGGAAAATAAGGGAAAACATGAGTTATTTTACTCATATAAAGTGAATCTTATACTCTCATCCCATTTAATGTTGCAATGTTGTGCATGTTTCAATTCAATATAGTTTAAATTTTAAAAGTTTTAATTAATTAATTATGACCTAGCCAATTAGGCTAAATCATTTTTGATTGATTAGATTTGTTTGATTCGAAATAAACTAAAGATTGATCAGATTAAAGATTGAAAGACTGAGATTGCTTGATTAAAAATAAACTTTCCGTCCAAATAATTGTTAACTTTTATTTTATAATCCCACATCGGAAAAAGAAAAAAAAATGAGTTGTTTCACTTATATAAAGTGAATCTTAATAGTGTAATATTGTATATACTTCAATTCAAGACAGTTTAAATTTTAAAATTAAAATAACATTTAAGAGTTTTAATTAATTAATTTTTGTATTAGTTGGTTGGTCATTTGATTTAACCGATTAGGCTGAACCATTTTGGGTTTGACCAATTTGCCGGTTTAATCGCGATTTCTCATACTGATTTTATTAATTTTAAACATTTAAAAAAATTTCCATTGGTTAACTTTCATTCAACCATATAAAAATAAAATTTTAATTAGTTTATAATTTATTTTACAATCTCACATCCGGAAAAGAAGAAAAAGCAAAGTTTGTTTCGCTATCTATCTATATATTATATAAGAAAAATGAAATTTTTAGGGAGAAACCTTCTAGGAGCTCCAAACCTTTATTCTAAAATTATTAAATTTTCTTAATTTTAAATAATTAAGAAAATTTTCGTTGGCTAGCTTCCATTTATCTTTTATTTTACAACCCCACATTGGAAAAAGAAAGAAAAAGTGAATTGTTTCACTTACATAAAGTGAATCTTACGCTCCCATTTATATAAGCAAAAAGAGATTTTTAATGAGAAGCCATATGCTCAATATCTCATACTCATTTTTTTTTGTTTTTCTTAATTTTAAACAATTAAGAAAATCCACATTGGCTAGTTTCAATTTAACTTTTATTTTACAATCTAACATAGATGTTTTGATTTTAAAAATAATTTTGTATGAGATTTGGAAACTCTCATAATATTTAACTTTAAAATAATTACAATCCCACATAATAAATCTCCCTTAGCTTTAAAATAATTACAATCTCATATCGAGAAAAGAAAGAAAAAATGAGTTGTTTCATTTATATAAAGTATTACAATCCTGTTTCACTTATATAAAATGAATCTTATAAAGAGAGTTTTAAGGGAGAAGCCTTCTAGAAGTTCCAAACTCTCATTCTAAAATTATTAAATTTTCTTAATTTTAAATAATTAAGAAAATTCTCATTGGTTAGCTTCCATTTACCTTTTATTTTACAATCCCAAATCGGGGAAAAAAAGAAAAAAGTGAATTGTTTCATTTACATAAAGTGAATCTTATGGTTCAATTTATATAAATTATTGAAATTTCTTAATTTTAAATAATTAAGAAAATCTCCATCCCAAACCGAGGAAAGAAAGAAAATCCCCATTGATAGAAATTATTGAAATTTATTGAAATTACATAAAGTGAATCTTATGCTCGAATTTATAGAAATTCTTAAAATTTCATAATTTTAAATAATTAAGAAAATCCCCATTGATTAGCTTCCATTTAATTTTTATTTTACAATCCCGTATTAGGAAAATGAGGAAAAAAAATGAATTGTTTCACTTATATAAAGTGAATCTTATGCTCCCATTTATATAAGTAAAAAAAGATTTTTAGTGAGAAGTCCTATAATCAATACCATTTTTTTTTTTTGATTTTCTTAATTTTAAGCAATTAAAAAAAATTTCATTGGTTAGCTTTCATTTAACTTTTATTTTATAATCCCACACAGATGTTTTGATTTTAAAAATAATTTTGTATGATATTTTGAAACTCTCATAATATTTAATTTTAAAATAATTACAATCCCACATCGAGAAAAAAAAGAAAAAATGAGTTGTTTCACTTATATAAAGTGAATCTTATACTTTCATTTAATATTATAGTATTGTGCATAACGAAAGACCTTCATCGGTAACAATAGACACCAATTGTCCATAAGTGTACTGTTCATAAGGAATAGACATCCGGTCATGGCGATCCAATAGTATTGTGCATATTTCAGTTCAAGATGGCTTAAATTTTAAAATAAAATTTAAAGGTTTTAATTAATTAATTTTGTTATAAATTGGTTGGTCTTTTGATTTAGCCGATTAGGCTGAATCATTTTCGGTTTGACTGATTCACTGGTTTGACCACGGTTTTAGCTGTTTTATTAAAATATATTGCTTAGATTTGTTTGATTTGAAATAAACTAAGATTGACCTTATTAAAAATTGAACGACTGAAATTGTTTAATTAGAAATGAACTTTTTGTCCAAACAACTATTAATTTTTATTTTACAATCCCACATCAGGAAAAGGAGAAAAAAATGAGTTGTTTCACTATATAAACCTTATGCTTCCATTTAATATTATAGTGTTGTGTATGTTTCAGTTCAAGACAGTTTAAATTTTAAAATCAAAATAAAATTTTTAATTTTTAATTAATTAATTTTTGTATAAGTTGGTTAGTCCTTTGACCTAGCTGATGGGGGGAACCGTTTTCGGTTTGACTGATTCGCTGGTTTAACTGCGATTTTAGCGATTTTATTAAACTATATTAGTTAAATTTGTTTAATTCGAAATAAATTAAAGATTGACTTAATTAAAATTCTAAACAGATATTCGTAAGCTGGCAGGGTTATTTATCCAATTTTGATTTTGATATTGAATATATCAAAGGAGAAGATTGACTTAATTAAAAAATTAAACGGCAAAGATTGCTTGATTCAAAATAAACTTTCTGCCCAAACTATTGTTAACTTTTACACAATTAAGAAAATCTCTATTGGCCAGCTTTCGTTTAACTTATATTTTATAATCTCACATCGAGAAAAAAAGAAAAAAATGAATTATTTTACTTCCATTTATATAAGCAAAATGAGATTTTTATTGAGAAACCTTATGATCAATATCTCATACTAAATTTTTTGATTTTCTTAATTTTAAACAATTAAGAAAATCCCAATGGATTAGTTTAACTTTTATTTTACAAAATATAAAAAAATTAAATATAATTATCATATTTTTATTAAATAATATATTATTTTATCTTGTGCATAGCACGGGTGATATGTTAGTTAGAAGTGTAATTAGAAGTGATGAAATAAAGAGATGTAGCAAAACTCATATAAATTTTATGTAGGGATAAAATTTTCCATTTTAAATAGTTAGTACTGATTATGGGGAAACATTTCCATCAAATTCTAGGGGCAAAAAAGTTCACCTCTTAAGGAGAATGATAGATAACCAATGGAATAAATGCACGTCTCCAGGTAAACTTGCAAATGAATAGAAGAAATACCACGATAACTACACAAAATGTAAAATCTCATTAGTTAACGATAAGGCAGTTTAAAAGGAAGTGCTTATTTAGCAAGATTCAATTTGTTCAGTGGGTAAATTGGCAACTTCTTTTCTCTCTTTTTTTCTCTCCTATAGATGATCAGGAATTGGTACCTTTGGTTCAAGCAATACCACAATACAAGTTTTGCCTTCCGATCTAGAAACGCTCATATAATCTTGTAAGTCCCCATCACAAGCTATTAAAATCAAATCACCATCCTCATCTTTATACTTGACACAATAAGTTCCAGCCTCTAGGTCTAGCCTCTGCGCCACTTCTTGCTGCAACTCTATGAGCCTCGATGACAAAGACAGACGAAACTTAATTGCATTACCTTCTGCATATTTTGCTTTTATAGTCACAACATTGGCATCTTGCATCGTTGTATCATGTGGCTCGGTGTGAACAATAGTAGCTAAGGGTTGAGCAGAAGGAAGATCATCAAGATACAATTGTGAGCTTTGTTCCAGATCAACACACGGGGCCGATTCATTGAGCTGAGAGCAAACAACCTTGTTTTTCTTGCGAGGTGGCCACCTCTTGATACGATAACCCCTACATACACGCTTCAATGTAGATTTGCTAACTGCAAAAGAAGAATCCAAGTAAGAAAACTTACTCTCTATTGTTTCTACAAAAAACCCAATATATATTCTCTACCAGAAGAGTCCATCTAATTGAAATAACTACCAAGATCACAAGCAACCTTATATTTTAATTTATGAAAGTGCATGCATACCTCCGAGGCTTTGGGCAGCATCCTCAAGTTTCATTTCTGAAGTTTGTAGGATTTCTTCTAAGGAAATTTCAATTTTAACTCCCTTTTTATTGTCTTTTCTGTCTGATGACTTTACTGTGTATCCAGATTTGTCGCCTTTTCTTGTTGACGTCTTTCCTGTAGTAGCTGAGAGTTGAGCAGAAGGAAGATCATCAAGATTCAATTGAGAGCTTTGTCCCAGATCAACACACAGGGCCGATTCATTGAGCTGAGAGCAAACAACCTTGTTTTTCTTGCGAGATGGCCACTTCTTGATACGATAACCCCTACATACACGCTTCAATGTAGATTTGCTAACTGCAAAAGAAGAATCCAAATAAGAGAACTTACTCTCTATTGTTTCTACAAAAAACCCAATATATATTCTCTACCAGAAGAGTCCATCTAATTGAAATAACTACCAAGATCACAAGCAACCTTATATTTTAATTTATGAAAGTGCATGCATACCTCCGAGGCTTTGGGCAGCATCCTCAAGTTTCATTTCTGAAGTTTGTAGGATTTCTTCTAAGGAAATTCCAATTTTAACTCCCTTTTTATTGTCTTCTCTGTCTGATGACTTTACTGTGCCTCCAGATTTGTCGCCTTTTCTTGTTAACGCCTTTACTGTGCCTCCAGATTTGTTGCCTTTTCTTGTTGACGCCTTTACTGTGCCTCCAGATTTGTTGCCTTTTCTTTTTGACGCCTTCACTGTGTCTTTCTCTTGTGTACAAGTAATAGCAATGCTGTTATGTCCTGTACCAAAAACATTGCTTCCAGTATTTATGGCATTCTCTAATTGTTGATCTGATGAATCCACTTGCATTACCTCAACTTCACTTTGTGAGAGTTCCAACAGAGGCAAAGATATAGTGGTTTGGGGGATTTGAACAGGATCAAGTTTTTCACCATTTTGAATAGTAATATCTTCAATATGTAATTCTTCCCCAAGTTCTTCTCTAGAAGCAACCCTAAGACAACGAAAATTTTTCCTCATTGTTTCCAATATTTTCCCTAATGAGGTATGTGGGTCTTCACTGGCATTGTTGCTCATCGGCATAAAAAACTCTAGCACGTAAACGTCATTTCCAGTGTAATTGCTCTCCAAGCATATTGCGAAGCAACCGCTTAATGCAGCCTTTCGTGCATAGTGTGCCAATGGGTACTCAGTGAGGCTAAATTGAGTTACATCCCTGCAGAATATCATATTAGTGGACAAAAGTGCTCTCCCAACAACCCCCACCCCATTCTTTAAGTGAAACAAAGAACTGATACGACGAAAAGCATCTACATCTTCACCATAGTCATCTTTCTTGTAATAACAACTTACACCAAGGATGTCACCATCAACCAGAGCCCTGCATGGCCAACCTACCTTGCATGGGACCCATGCCTGAGCTAAAGGTAAATCATGAACATCACATACCATTTTCAACACATTCTCGATTTCAACCAAGGCAATTATACGAGCTTCATTTTCATCCTCATCCTAGTTTGAAAGTATTGTCACATCCAGGTATTAGTGAGCAAATATTCCTCACCATTTTAATTTAAGAAAAATAAAAAAACCAAATTTGACATTGCATTATAGTTTGCCACTTACTAATTCCATGTCCTCGTGATCAAATACAACTGAACATTTCAGACCAAACTCCTGCAGGGGAATGGAAAGATGCAACTGAGGAATCTCATGAACTTGGAAATGTAGAATAATATTTTGCAAATAAAAGGAAGCATATAAAAAACTCTACAATGGATAAAATTCAGTCCATCGTAATATCTATTATCATGTTTGGTTCAACAAAAAGGAAAGAATATACGTTGGAAATTTGGAAATGAAATCACCATATTCTCCAATTTAGGAGAATGGTCATTTTATTGGAAAGCCAAAGATTACTAGCCATTCTATTCAAGCCTACAATCATTCCAACCAACAAAACACTGCCTTAGTGTAGTAATCTCATTCGAGTTTGGGAAGCAAACTAGGAATTGCATTCTCATTTTAGAACACATCCAAACAACGAAGTGAAAGAGACTTGACATAAGATTCTTATTATGCGTCATTGAATTGTCCTTGCCATCCAAACATGAGTGTTTTAAAACACTTAAGATCTAGAAAAATGAAAAAGTGGTTTACTCTTTTGTGTGTTAACCCCTCCGAGCATAGTTAACAAACACATGACATGACAAATTTAACAGAGTGTTTAACACTTGCGTTAAAGCATTATTTTTCTCTTTGAACAGGCAGACCCCCACCAACTTATTACACAAACAAACACACCACACCACTGTAGATGTTCTAAGAGAGAGAGTGTAATGAGTAATCAATATTAACAAGATATTGAAAATGCCAATTTGTGAGTGAGTGGACTAACCTCAAAATCTATATACATATCGTTCCGAAAATAGCTGCTACAAATTAGAAAATTGCTGCTACAAATTAGAAATCCAAGGTCTTCCTCTAGTGTCACTACTTCCATTACGCCAACACACCTTTGGGTAGAAGATTCAAAGACTGGGAAAGCGAAAGATTCTCGGAGTCCGCAACGTAGAGCATCGTCACGCTGTGGATACTCTGTGATAGAGTAAAACTCGACATTAGGAGTGGATTCGGGGAATTGATGCTTGAACACTCGGGCAGGAAGGTGTTGTTCACAAGTGTTCCCCCCATCCAAATCAATGTCAAATTTAGAATCCATACAGATCATCCTATACCGACAAAGTCCATAAATATCAAGAATATCATGTCCATCATAAATAAGTGATGCTAGAGAGAAAGGTTGGCTTCGAGTTGTAAGAAAAGACCGGCCCTCTTTTGTTGTTATGGGTGCCCAAAATTGAACTAGTATCGGCCTACCAATCCAATGCTGTATAATTGTGCAAAGCAAATCTCTGATGATCTTGTTTAAGTTGAAAATATCTGATAAAAACAAACAAATTTCAGGAGAGGATTGATTTCAAAGCAAGGTAACATTATTGACTTAAATTGACTTGAAACGACTAAACTATAAAATAAATAAATATTCAAATCTAAAAATAATAATCATAAGAAATAAAGAAAGAAAGAGAGATAGGAGTAACTCACCGCCGTCGGGGAGAGTAGAAGAAAGACGTTCGGGTTCGTCGTCTTCTCGGCTCCAGAAAACCACTCCATTCAAATATTTTGCCATAAAAGTTTCATAAAACTTGGGCAACCAGTTGAGTTCCTTGTACATATATTCCTTGAAATCGTCAGGGAAATACGAGAAAAATCCCTCTTCTTCGTCAGCCATTTTCCTGATAAATCAATCGGGGTCCTTCCAGTTCCAACTAAATACAACTTTTTTCAAACAACTATCGTTCGAATTGGGTTAAAAAAGCGTCAGACTTCAAAAATGGTTGCGTTCAAAGGGTTTTTTCCCATTCCATCGAGGAGTTCAAAAGGCTCATTCATTCTCTACAAAAACAAAAAACAAAAATAAATGGTAAATTACAAATACACCATTTGAGATTTGCTTAAAATACGAATTGTTCTTTATAGTTTGAAAAATTATAAATACCTCCCTATCAAAAATTTTTATTTAACAGAATTAATTAAAAAACTGAAATTTTTAACTGTTCACCTATACAATAATAAAATTATTTGAATTATTAATTGAAATAAAATTTTGACATTATTAAAAACTGTTAATTAACTTGATGATTTATTAATAAAGGGATTTATTTGTTATGAAATTAGAAACTTTAGGAAATATAATGTAATTTCTAGGATCATAGGAATAATTTATAATTTAAATAATATTCAGGGGTATGTTTGTAATTTACTCAAAAATAAATAAACAAATAACAAGTCAAGCCAATATTTTCTCAAGTCCCCCGTGTCAGATTATTATTTTTTATTTATTTATTTATCAAGATAAATAAAAGTCGAAACGAAAAAATTAGGAGTGCTCAATGAATAGTTTGGTTCATCCAAATCGATTGAACAAATCGATTTGTTATATTTTGGACAGATGCATGATAATGAGTAGATGATTATGAATTAATTTTTTTTTAATTCGCATAATTTTGGACGAATAGCGAATTTGAGATTTCTTTAGCCGCAACCGAACCATCAAACCATGAGCACTCCTAGTAATTTGTAAGATTTTGTGTTTTAAATTTATTTAAATATTTTGTTTATGTTTTTAATTGAAAAATAATTTAAATATTCTATTGTGTTTTCAATTTATTTTCAATTTGAAAATCTTTTTATCAAATGACAAGTGTTGATATTTGATACTTTTGTGTGAAAAATATAAGGCTTAATTTTGTCTTAAAAATCAAATTAAATAGTTTTTTAATAAAAAAAAAGTAATAAAATAGTTTTGATAATGCATGATTTTTTTTATATGTATTATTATTGATATTTGACAATTTACTTGAAAATGTTTTGATTATGTTAAGTTGGATTGTTACAAAAAAATATATATTGATAAGTTGTTGTATTATGTTTAAAATTTATAAAAGTTTAAACTGTCAAACCGATTCGCATCTATTCGCCAATCCACTCAATCCGCATCCGCCAATTCGACAGACGGATGCGAATTGATTTTTTTCAATCCGCCAATCTGATAGACGAATGACAGATTAAAAGTTTTCTGGCCACAATTGAACCATGAGCACCTCTAATGCTGTATTTGATTGGAAGATTTGGAAAGAGAAAGGGAAAAAAGAAAATGTATGTAAAACTAGATAAAATGTAGGTATATTTTATTTATATGTCACATGCCTTTTTCATTTTTCTTTCCAAATCCTTCCTCAAATTTTTCAACCAAATACAGCATTAAAGAAACTACATAGAAAGACCAGAGGCTATAATTTTAAGAATTTTTTGTAATATAAATTTAATATATCCAATGATCTTAATTTTTTGAATGAATATTTACTTAATGGGTCCTAAACATGAACGATTTGAAATCAATTCTACAAAATCCAAACGCTCTCTCAAATAAAAAAAAAAATTTATTTACTCTGTTTAGTTTCAGTTTTCAGAATTCATTTTTTAAAAAATTCTACTTTTTCATTTTTCATATTTTTTTATTTTCACTTAATGTTTTTAATATTTTAAGAAATCTTTTTTAAAAAAAATTTAGACACGCCTAACATAAATACTCTTAAAAAAGTACAATACTGAACATAAAAAAATATTTAAAAAATACAAAAATTTAGTGCATTTTTCATATTTTTGTGTATTTATTAATTTTTTAAAATATTTTTTCACAAATATCTTACTATTTAGATACATCTAAGTAAGGTGCATATAAAAAAAATACTTAAAATTTTAAAAATATTCACTAAAAAAAATGAGAAAAAAAAAACTCAATTTAAAAAAAATTAAATTTAAAAAATTAAAACTAAACACACTAATTAGTATGACAATAAGTTGGATATATAAGATATATTGTTGTGTTTATTTACGTAATAATGTAGTGATATTAGAGTGTACGTGCTCTTTAAAATGGGATGTTCATTATTATAATTAGTCTCGTACTGTTTTACTTTCTCAAACGGGCTAAGTACTATACTAAATATTTTAATAATTTTTTTGTACACTATTTACATGTAAGAAGCTCTTTAAATAGTTTGTATCAATAAATAAATAAAATAAAAAGTAGTGTTGGAGTTTTAGATAAAAAAAAATAATCAGGTAAAATAAAGAGCAATGTTCGAGTTTTAAATAAAAATAATATTTAGGCAAAATAAACAATATATTTATTTTTTATATTTTAACTAGCGAAAAATATAATATAACGTTGGACTTGCAATTAGTTATAAAAGTCTTTAATAAATAAAAAGTAATTTTATTATTTTTGTAAAGAGAAGGTAAGATGATATTTTTGACTCAAACCCTCGCTAGGATTGCTATTCATAATTTATGAAACTAGTCGCATTATATTGGGTTATTTTGGGAACTTGGTTAAAAGTCACTTTTTTTTGTTAGTAGCAAAAGCCAAAAGTTGGCTTTTTTGGCTTTTTTTTCATTTGGCAAGTTGGTTTTTAGCCAACGGTGAAATTACAATTTTATCCCTCATGGGTCACAATGTGTTACATCGGTTTAATTATAAATATTTTAAATAAATGGGGGTAGTTTAGTCATTTTATTATGATTTGACATCATAAACAAATATTAATCAAAAAAGTCAAAAGTCACTTTTTACCAACTTCCCAAATCATTTGTCTAAAAAAGCCAAAAGCTTGGTTAAAAGTCAAAAAGTCACTTTTTACTATCTTCCCAAAATAAGCCATTATTTTAAAACAAACATGATTTATGAGAGATTCAGACTTGTTTTGGAGTTTGTTTATTTTTTTTTAATGAACTTTTATAAAAAAAAAAATTCAAAATTTGGCTTTTTCAAATTTTGTTTGAAAATTTTCAAAATATATATATTTTTTAGATTCGTCTCGATAAGGCAGACCTAAAAAATAAAATAAAAAATTGACATAATTTTGAAAAAAAAAAAATTTTAAATGTGATTTTTTTTTTTTTTTGGGATTGCCAAAAGAGGTCTGATTAAATTATTAATCCAATTTCATCACCTTCAAACCACAACAAACTGGATTTTAGAAAATGGGATTGAATTAACAGTGACAAAGGTGGAGAGGTAAAAGAATTATAAATATTATAATTGTAAAATATTACCCAAAAGACAACTTAAGAGGGGGTGAATTATGTTTTTATAATTAAAAATTAATAATACCCTAATAAAAATCATGACTAGCACAATAGATAAATATAGTTAATAAAATAAAAATAATTAGAACAAGTGTTCTAACAACTATGTCAGTTAATGATTTTAACACAGTGAAAATATGAAATATAGTTACAGCAATTTAAATAAAATAAAGAGATAAGAGAGAGAGAGGGGTAAACAAATTTATAGCGGTTCGGCTTCAACTCGACCTACGTTCACTTCTCAAGCTTCACATGAGATTTTCTACTATGCTCTAGCTTCACGGGAGTACTAGCAACCTCTTTACAAATAGAGCAATCCTCCACGGATTTTACACAGACTTCACAAGCCCAAACCCTTGCAAATCTTAAAGGCTTGTTTGGTTTGTATTTGAAAAACATGTTTTGAGATAAAAAGTACGAAAATTTGTTTTGTTTGGTTTTTTTTCAAAAGATGTTTTGAAAAATTATTTTGAGAGAGAGTTTTGAAAAAAGTGATTGATTTGATGTGAATGAGAGAGAGATTTGTTTGGAAAACTTGTAAACCAAATAAGTTTTGGAAAAAAAAATTGAGAAAATTTGTTTGGTTTGATTACTTTTGAAAACTTATTTGCAGAGAATTTTTCCCAAAATTTTTTGAGAAACACAAACCAAACAATCACTCTCAAGATTTCAAGAACACAGTGTTTACAACACTTTTACAAAATGAAATGGTATTTTTACTTTCAAAGAAAGCTTATAATAAATATCTCTGAAAGATAGAAATATAAAATGAAACTTTTATTTTTCTGTAAATCTCACATAAGAAAGATGAGCTCAATGCTATAAAGCTCAGTGTATAATTTCTGAGAATAGATGTGAGTGATTATAGATCAAAGAATATTTTCAGATTTTTTTGTAACTTATTTACATTAGAGGCTTTGATATATATAATGAAAATTATAGCCGTTTATAGCTGATGTATTCATTTGAATTTATAACCGTTTATATTCGTTGTAGTCATTTGAATTTATAGCCGTTTATAACCGTTGTACTTCCATCATTACCAATTTGAATATCTTTCACTCCATCATTACAAATTTAAATATCTTCCATTGAACCTTTTTGCCTTTTGAACCTTTATAACTATTTATAGTCGTTGTACTTCCATCATTACTAATTTGAGTATCTTCCACTTGAACCTTTTGAACCTTTTGGCCTGCTATTGTGTTAGGCTGTTTGAACCTTTGTTTTTGGCTGTTTGAACTCCTGATTTAATCAAATATTAAATAAATTCTAATAACATTTAGGATAAAGGTTTAGGTGAGAAATAATGGGACAAAAAAATTTTTTATTATATTTTTCTTTTTCAAATAAATCATCAAAATAATTTTTGATTATATTTTTCTCTTTCAAATAAATCATCAAAATTTCAAATAAATTAAAACATAATTAAATAAATTATCAAAATAAATAAGTCTAACATAAAAGGTGTTAATATCTATAAAAAAAATTAATAATATGACACTTGAAATTTATTAGGTCAAATCTTATGAGAAAATAAGTCATTAAAAGATAGAATATTTACTTATAAATTCCATATTGAGAAACGGTGATCTATTTAGTCCTAAATTTTTTTTATAGACCAATTGGTTCCATTGATTTCAGAAAAGTATATTTAATATATTATTTAAAAATTAAATTTACGGTTATACCATTATTTTTATTATGTTCATGTTCATTTTCTTTTTATTTTTTTTCTTTTGTGCTAAAAAAGTAAGATACACAATATATGAGAATCAAATTTGGAATGAATTTTTATATAAATATCTTTTTTATTTGGAAAACATTTAAAAAAAGAATAAAAAAATGACTTAAAATATGAGAATCTTCAAAAATTCTAAAAAGATGTGAAATTTTTCAAAATTTCGAAAGGAGTACAAAAATTACTTGGTAAGTTTTTGCCAAATGTATAATTTTAAATTGTAATACTCCAATGTAACACTCAAACGTAACACTATAATGTAATATTAAAAAAAAAAAAATCTTAGTGTAATACCCTAATGTTACATATAAAAAAACTTTTTACTGTACTTTTTCTCAAACGTAACACTCTAATATAACACTCCAAAAAAATTCTTTAGTGTAACACTCTAATGTAACACACAAAAAATTTCCTGATTGTAACACTCTAATATAACACACAAAAAAACTCTCTAGTGTATTTTTTTCCAAACATAACATCCTAATATAACACTCCAAAAAAACTCCTTAGTGTAACACTCTAATGTAACACACAAAAAAATTTCATGATGTATTTTTTTCAAATGTAACACTCTAATATAATATTCTAAAAAAAATTCTTAGTGTAACACTCTAATGTAACACACAAAAACTCTTTAGTATAATATTCTAATGTAACACACAAACAACTACTTAGGCCTTGTTTGGGGAGTGGCTATTTTAGCCAAAAAGCCAAAAAGTTACTAAAAGTTGTCACATCACCTCTCTACTTTTCTGCACATCTTTTCGTAAAAAGCCAAAAAATTACTAAAATAGTCTGTTCCCAAACGAGGCCTTAATATACTTTTTCCAAACATAACGCTTCAATATAACACTAAAAAAAAATTTCTTAATATAACACTTTAATATAACAAAAAAAAAAAAAAACTATTTGGTGTACTTTCTCCAAATGTAACGCTCCAATGTAACACAAAAAAAAAAAATTCTTAGTGTATTTTTCTTAAACATAACACCCCTATGTAACACTAAAAAAAAAAGTGAGATTTTTCAAACCATTCCAAAAGAAGTACAAATATTCCTTAGTAAGTTTTGAATAAATGTATAATTTCAAACTGTGAGTGTAACGTTTGAAAAAAGTACACTAAAGAGTTTTTTTTTAGTGTTTTTGTGTGTTATATTAGAGTGTTACGTCTGGGATTACACTGATTGGAGTGTTACATTTAGGAAAAGTACACTAAATTTTTTTATTTTTTTTTATTTTTTATTAGAGCGTTACATTTGGAAAAAGTACACTAAAGAGTTTTTTTTTTTTTTTTTTGAGTGTTTTTTACGGTTGGAAAAAGTACACCAATGAATTTTTTAGTGTGTTAAATTGAATGTTATGTCATTAGAATGTTACATTAGAGTGTTAGGTTTTGGTTCGTAATGTGGGATTTGTTATAGAATGAAAGAAAATCCAAAATTTCCATAGTGTAAATTGTCCAAATATATAATTTTACATTTTGAGACACCCATTTTTATCTCTAAAAAATTAAACTCAAACATGTAACTGACTATCATTTTATGTAATTTACACTTTAATAGAATCTTTAAGTTCATAAGAAAAAATTAAAAAACTAAACAGTACTTAAGATCACATTTTAAAATTTATAAGTATTCCACCCTAAAAGATATTATTACCAAATCCCCCTTTTTAGATCATTCTTGTAAAAAAATTTAACACAATTTTAAAAGATTTACTAAAAATTTTGAAGGAGAAATAATAAATTTTAATTATTAAAATCATAATTTTTTTTATGTAACTATTTTTGAATAGTTTAACTGATTTCTAATTTCTACTTTTTTTTTACCGATGATTGCCAAACCAAGATGCTCAAGAATGAGTCAAGAGACCGGCTTTATTGCATAATATTGTGGTTTTGATGGTAGTAGATTCAAGAGCTACTACAATCATGGCATACACTCCCAAGGAAACAAAAACCGCTCTCCTTCTTCCGGATCGTCATTTTCTCACCACACAAACAGCTCCAAAAACAATAGTAAAAACAGTTATCTTCTGTTATTTCTCTTTCCACCTTTTACTTGTCCTCCCTCTATGGCTATTGATGATGTTTCTGTTGTGTTCTTTGTCTGCCCTTTGTATGGCTAATCATTACCTTCTTGGGATTCTTTGACTCTCTCTGTTTTCTGGGTCTCTTCAGTTTCTGGGTATCACTCATTCTCTCCCAATTATTTACATTGCATATGATCTGTTTGTTTGAAGGTCTGTGAGGCTTTTTCTCTGTTCTATTGCTTTTCTTGCCCATTTCTTTGTTTTTTAAGGTCTTCAAACAATGGGTTTGGCTGAAGACAATGTGACCTCTGAAACAAAACCAACCCAACCGATACAGAGTCATAGCAGACAGCCGAGTGAGACTTCTTGTTATGCCACTGAGGATGAAGAAGAGGGTAACAAGGAGGATGAAGAAGAAGAAGCTCGTCTACAATTGGGTCCCATTTGCAGTATCAAAGAGCAAATGTGAATATTCACATTGTCAACGGGCCGGGCCCGCCCCGGCTCGCGGGCGGGTTTCGGGCCGCCCACGGGCCAATTTTACATTCCTACAAATGTGAATTTTAAAATATGAATATTCACATAATTAAATTGCTAATCGTTCAAAAAATATTTATAAAGTTATCAAAATTGAATATAAAGGCATAAGTGTCCAAGAAAATAGTGTAAATCAAGAAAATGGACTTTATGGAATAAAACTATACATACATGGGACTAAATGGGTTAAAAAATTCTTTCATGAACTTCTTAAGTTAAAACACTTCTAAATTGGACTTATCAATAAAAATCCCAAAAAAATTTAACACAATTTTAAAAGATTTACTAAAAATTTTGAAGGAGAAATAATAAATTTTAATTATTAAAATCATAATTTTTTTTATGTAACTATTTTTGAATAGTTTAACTGATTTCTAATTTCTACTTTTTTTTTACCGATGATTGCCAAACCAAGATGCTCAAGAATGAGTCAAGAGACCGGCTTTATTGCATAATATTGTGGTTTTGATGGTAGTAGATTCAAGAGCTACTACAATCATGGCATACACTCCCAAGGAAACAAAAACCGCTCTCCTTCTTCCGGATCGTCATTTTCTCACCACACAAACAGCTCCAAAAACAATAGTAAAAACAGTTATCTTCTGTTATTTCTCTTTCCACCTTTTACTTGTCCTCCCTCTATGGCTATTGATGATGTTTCTGTTGTGTTCTTTGTCTGCCCTTTGTATGGCTAATCATTACCTTCTTGGGATTCTTTGACTCTCTCTGTTTTCTGGGTCTCTTCAGTTTCTGGGTATCACTCATTCTCTCCCAATTATTTACATTGCATATGATCTGTTTGTTTGAAGGTCTGTGAGGCTTTTTCTCTGTTCTATTGCTTTTCTTGCCCATTTCTTTGTTTTTTAAGGTCTTCAAACAATGGGTTTGGCTGAAGACAATGTGACCTCTGAAACAAAACCAACCCAACCAATACAGAGTCATAGCAGACAGCCGAGTGAGACTTCTTGTTATGCCACTGAGGATGAAGAAGAGGGTAACAAAGAGGATGAAGAAGAAGAAGCTCGTCTACAATTGGGTCCCATTTGCAGTATCAAAGAGCATCTTGAAAAGGATAAGGTTTGTTTGTTTGTTTCTCTTGAAACAAAAGTGAAATTGTGTATTGGTGTTGTTGAATTTCTTGTGGTTCTGTGCTAGTTTAGGATGATGAGAGTTTGAGGCGGTGGAAAGAACAACTTCTTGGCAGTGTCGATGTCAATGCGGCTGAAGGTACTTTGTTGCTCTTGAATCTTAATTGATCTATGTTGGTAACTTGTCTGTTAACCATTAATTGATGTGTAAATAGTCTCATGAATAAAAACTTTGCTAATTGTGATCTAGCTTATGATATCACAACCATTTCACCTCTGATTTCTTAAAAAAGATATTCAATCCGTCGGAATAGAAGTTAAAGAGGGTATTTATGCTTGTCGTGTTCTTTATATGGAAATCCGAGGCCAGGGGTCCATTCCCTTGACTTGTACTGATGAGAATTTTACTCCATGAGAAATTGATCAAAAGCTGCTGAATTGGCCCACTTCTTGCATGTACCAATTGAAGTTTTTTGAGAAATGAACTAAAGAATGAATGCTTTCTTAGCAAGAGAGAAAAAAATTTATGTTCTTCTGTTTCCAACGGACTCTAAGCCGCAGGATTGTGTCTCAAGATTCTCAACATACGGTACGGCTGGTAGTATATTGGGACTGGGAACAGGGGTTTTGGGGAGTCGGAGACATGGGATCCTATACCAAAATTCCTAGAATCTATACAGTTGTTCACTGTTTGTTGGAATTTTTTGAATGGGACAGAAATAGTTTCCAATGTGTTTGTCAAATGTGATGAGAAAAAAATGCTACAGATCACAAAAAATGTTTTATGAAAACACTCTTGAAGCTAGGTTATTTGACCGGCAACGGCTTTGAGACGATTTTCATCAAATTTTATCATGGTTTGTAGCATTGCTGTGCCGAGAAAGAAGTTGACCATTCTAGTGCTCGTGTTTGTGTTTGTGATCATGGTTTCAAATTTTTAATTGTCGCATGGGAAAAACAAACAATGGTAACAAATTTCTACTGTGTTCAATTTTGATTCTTTTTCTGCTGCCAGGGATTTTCTGTCCCCCTTATGCCCGATGCATTCCTAACCGCACAATGTGGTTGGAATCTCAAAACACAATAATTTTGAGACGATTATGGGGTTAGAATTTGGAAACACGGGGACAACTATTTTGAACAGAGAATCCCGTGTCCTTTTCTGTACATTCTTCCCATATATTTATCTTCATAGGAAAGCTCATAACATGGCAAATCTGTGTTTTTTTTAACTATTCACATTCCCGTAATGCAAATGCTCTGTCTGAAATATTTAGTTTGAGTTGGGTGAATCCCGTTCAGCTTATTTATTTATTTATTTATTTAAAAAATATATATATATATATTTTTTACAACTTCTGTGTGTATTTTCCTTGATTTTTGGAGAAGGGGGTGTGGAGGGGGCTTGTAAAAATGATTGTGAACTTTGACTGTTACTCAAGTATTATCCTGGTGTTTCAGCCAATATCTTATGCCTTCCACACATTAATTTGCGGTAATCTATACGAGTAATTGGGCTTGACAAATTTTACTGTTCTCTTAGTCCATGATGTTGTTTTTAACTAAGTTGATTGGTTTGCTTTCAAATGGGATAATCTATATGAGGAATTGGGCTTGACAAAATTTACTGATCTCTTAGTCCTTGATGCTGTTTTTAACTTAGTGTGGATTGGTTTGCTTTCAATTGGGATGATTTGATTGTTCTATTTTCCATATTGTAGAAACTCTAGAACCAGATGTCAAAATTTTGAGCCTTACTATCCTCTGCCTTGGTCGACCTGATCTTGTTCTTGAGATTCCTGCCAATGGGGACCCCAAAGGCGTGTGGTTTACACTGAAAGAAGACACCTGTTACCATCTGAAATTCTCCATTCAGGTCAGCAACAATATTGTTTCTGGCCTGAGGTACACTAACACTGTTTGGAAAACTGGTCTCAAGGGTACTCTCTCTCTCTCTCTCTAAGAGCCAAGGTTCATTTTTTGCTTGCACCCTGAGATGCGGAGGACTCTTTTATGTTTCCTTTTCAGTTGACAGCTCGAAGCAGATGCTCGGAACCTTCAGTCCTCAGGCTGCGCCTTACATACATGAGATGCCAGAAGAGACTACCCCCTCTGGAATGTTCGCAAGAGGATCATATTCGGCGAAAACAAAGGTAATAAGTTTACCAAATTTGCTGTCTTTGCTTGCAGAGGTTCTATGCTTTCGTCACACAGATGGTTACAAAATTAATTTGCAGATTTATTACTTACTAATAAGAAAGTGAAGAAATAGTAGAATGTCAAATGCTGATGTAGTTGGGCAACTTGATTATTTGGTTATCCTGGCTCATGACTAAGGGAAATATCAAATAAATGGAAATAAGGAAAATAATTGCAAATCAATGAGTGCAAGTAAGAACTGTCATTTTTGTGTCACGGATGTCTCACTTTCAATTGATTTGCAATTATTTTTTCCAAATCTTCTTTGCTATGAGCTTGATATCTTGCAAAATTTCTCTTGGGTTAAAACTTTTTAGACTTCTGGAATTTTACATTTGTGCCCTGTTTTAAGTATAATTTCTAGGACCATATCCTTATTTGGCTTCATGTGTGGCACAAACCTTATCTTCAAATGTCATGGAATTTATTTTTTTGCAATTGTTTTCGTATATCATTTTCATTTCTCGTTGATTCCACGCATCTATGCAGTTTATTGATGACGACAACAAGTGCTACTTGGAAATCAACTACACATTCAGTATCCAAAAAGAATGGCCAAAGTAAAACCGAGATTTAACTGTCCTCTGACTCTCAATCACCGCTTTTGAGTCCCTGCAGTAACAGCAATGCAAGCCGCCAGAATAGGAGAACAGGAAGGACGTGGCTTCAGAGTTCCTTGGATTGTACCCAAATAAAACCACAAAAACCCTTCAGATTGTCCATTGCATTTGCTAGCTTTTTTGTTATTCTCTGCCCGTCTGCACATTCAGACCAGCCTCAAATGAGTTGTTTAGATTCAGTTGCTGTACATCTCTTTGCTTTGTATAGACAAAGAAAGCATATCGTTTTTTTTGTTTGATGACCGTCTTTTTCTTTGCCAAGGCTACCAAAATTTTGCATGTATCATTTTACTGAAGCATGATATACATCCAGCAATAAGTTTTGAATGTACAGCTCCGTGTGGTCTTTTGACATTATACCTCATCTGTTCTCAAATGATTATTTGTTGTGTTTCTTCAAGCCAATTTGACATTATTGAACTCACGATGAACCCGTTTACAACGATCACAGTGCATCAAACATATAGTTCATGCTACTTGTTAGCATGTTAAGGAGTTTTTTTGTTAATGTTATTTTAGCGACTCAGCAAGCTGCTATCTTTCTAGGCTAGGTCTGTTGGGTGTATCCTGTTCATAAAGTTCAGAATAACAATAAGGTTAAAATACAAGGCTGGAGTGAAGAAGGAACTCTGAATTGATGACCTTGTGGCTGCTATGGAGACATTTATGGTGTGTTTGGTTGGGGGATTTGGGGAGGGATTTGGAAAGGGAAAGGGAAAAGGTGTGTGAAACTATGTGAAATATAAGCATGATTTATTCACATTTCACTTACCTTTTCTATTTCTCTTTCCAAATCTCTCTCCAAATCCCACAACCAAACACAGCATTAGAGAATTCAGACTCATTTTTCAAATCTGAACTTGAGTTGATTCCTGGTAAACTGTTGATCTCATTGTGTTGCTTTGGTGAATTTTTTTTTTAATAGAATGATTTAGAAGATCCAAAACTAAAGATCGTGGTATTTGACATTTGTCAGCAACAATATAATGGAGGCAGTCAATCAATGTGGATTGATCCGAAATCTGATTTAGATCCCATATAACACTTATGAGTACATAAAAAATGTGTCGAATTGATTAATTTTAATGAATTTATTTGATCGCAACTTTTAATAGAATTCAAATGGATCAAATAGGACAAGATACTCTAAATCATAACTACACTGAAATATACAATCAACCAACAAGTATCAAATTTGAAAGAGTCGGGTGAAATGATTTGATCCTTTTGTTTTTATTTCTTAAACCAAAAGATCTATGAATCAGGCTCCTAACGCATCCGAATACAAATGGTGGAGGGATAGATTATGTTTCTTGACGTCCTTCTGACTTCGGTTTCTTTTTCCTTGAAAGGAATCCCACTCTCCTTTGTTTCTTCTAGATATTGGAAGGTTATGTGCCACATGACCCTAAGATGATAAACAAAAGTGATAAATAAATATCATCATCATAATATTTTAAATTGGAATGTTCTAGTGGGGTGATGCAAGTGGATTTAAGTTTTGATGTTTACCGGTGGTAACCCGTGCATATAAATTAAAACAATTATTATAATTATTTTAAAATAATTTAATATTTTATCTTGTGGTATACATAAAATTTAGTTATAAGGTAACTTTTATGTTTATAACATTTTAAATTATTAGTTTAAAAAAATTAAAAAATATATATATAAGTCTAATTAGTGCAATTTTGATAATTTGTATTAAAAAAAAGTTAAATGAGATTAAATGAGTTATGACATGCCTCTTCTTGTTATGAAAATATACAAATTTAAAAGTTATATGTAGGACAAATATACAATTTTATTATTAAATATAAAGTGAAGTGTTATTTAACAATAATTAATATGATGTTTCTATTATTAATCCAATAATTTAAGTTACATTTCTTTTGATTTCAATTTCATAACTAAAAATATAACACGAATATAATACACACATAAATTTCTAGTCTTTAAGAATAAGAAGGCTTCAAAATATTTTCAAACTTTCATCATCTTTTTTTTTATCTAATTTGATTTTAAATTTGAATAAAATTTTGATTTTATATGAATTACTTTAACTTTTTCATTAAATTTTATCAATTTTTAAAAGAATTTAATTCTTATCCCATTTTTTTTTCTTTTTACCAATTTTGATGAAAAAACAATAATTTTCAACATTTCATCTTTTTAAATTTTTATCAGATTATAATTTGATTAAAAAAATATTAGTTATTAAAGATTCTCTTAATTGGAATTATAATGAAATAACATCTTGAAATAGTCAAAATTTGAGTATGCGGTTGGTTAAAATGTATAATTTAATTAATTCTCTTCTCATATTTGTGTAAAAATTGAAACTTATGACTACATCATTATAAGTCAGATTATGGAAAAAAATTTGAGGTGTCAAACATTTTTCATTTGTAAATATCCTACATATTAAAAAAAAATGTGTAACTTTTGGATATGTGTTTATCAGTTTTATTTTATGGATATAAACAATTGATGTTTCAATTTAGAAATTAAAATCTAAAAAAAAAAACTAGGTTTTTTTTAGAGATGAAATAAACCATCTAGCTCTTTTATATACTATTTAAGATGGACTATTTAATCACATAAAAAAATAGAAATTATATTTAGACATTATCCCTATATATTATGCTATTATATACAACTATAGCTATAACAAATTAATTATAATATATATGAAAAGTTATATTAAACTTTCATTTTCAATTAATTGAATTATAATTAACAAATTAACAAATAGCTATAATTGTATAATGGGATAGAAAGAGGATAAAAATAAATAACATAATGATATTTAAAAGTTTTAAATTTACCTAATGTTGTAGTAAAATCTTGAATTCTCAATAAATTTTCACATTTTCTATAAAATAAAATGACAATAAAAAAAAATGATATCCATTTTTTTACTTCAATTTTGTGGTCTTCATTGAAAAAAACAAAATCCGATCAAAATTCTTGACACCGAACGGACATAGATACTTTGATTGCAACCACAATCACCAATAATTCTTCTCCACCATGCATATCAATAAACAAACACATAAAACCTTATTAAAACCAAAACCAAACAAAAACCAAAACCAAACCAACAGTAGAGAAAGAGAATCACACATGGAAAAAAATAAAATTAAAGAACAAATATATTTATGAAATGAGAGAATGTTACCTCCAGGAACTTAAACCTCACCTAACCCAATCCGTTAGCCCATCTGCCAATGCCTGCAAATTCTAGGAGTTGGGATGACTGATCAGATTATTCTTTAAATAAGACTTAAAAATTAATTAATTTGTCCCGTTAAGTAATTTAAAATTTTGATAAATATATATAAGAAAAATAGATAATTATATTACTAATCATAATTCAAATTTAGATATTGTCATATTTTTTTGAGATCCATATCTAAATTCTTATCTTCTTTTTTTTTAAAATTATTTTTGTGTGGTTTCTATTTATTTATTTTTCAATTCATTTAAGATGAAATTGTGGGTTTCTATTTATTTTTTCCCCAATTTAATTTATCTATGGTTTCTATTTGTTTTTAATTATTATTATGGTAAATTATGATGTGAGTTAGCTATGTGATAGACATGATGGTTTTATTGATTTAAAGTATGATGGTGGGAGATATTTTAAAATTATATTTGTTTAGAAAAACTTTAAAGATTTTTAAAATTTAAAATTGGATATTGAGATACAAAAGAAAAATTTTAACTGAATAAATAAAAATCTAATTTATTAATTTTATCTGTTTGTATATCTAATTTTTATTTATTTACTTATTTTTGTTTGTTATGTCATAATATAATATATAAGATATAGATAGATATTCAAAACTTTTATGAAAAATATTATCTCATTTTTTGGGAAAAAGAGAAGCCATGCAAGTTTTAATATTTTTTTTTGAAAATCGATGGGAGAGATTAAGATGGGGAGATTATGAAATATTTTTGTTATCTTTCCACTTGAAATTCATAAATTAAAAAATAATTATTACTTCTAAAATAAATAAATCAGTCAATAATTTTTTTTAAAAATCTATTTTATAAATTGAAAAATCAATAATTTTAGAAAATTGATTAATTTGTTCTATTAAGTGATTTAAAATTTTGATAGATATACATAAAAAAATATATAATTATATTATTAAATCATAATTTAAATTTAGATATTGTTATATCTTTTTGAGATCTATATCTAAATTTTTATCTTCTTTATTTTTGTACGGTTTCTATTTGTTTGTTTTTTTTCAATTTATTTTAGATGGAGTTGTAGGTTTTTTTTTAAAAAAAAAAAAATTTAATTTATCTGTGTTTCTATTTGTTTTTAATTAATATTATTTAGGTAAGTTATGATGTGAGTTAAGTATATGATAGACATGTGAGTTTTATTGATTTAAAGTATGATAATAGAAGATATTTTCAAATTAGATTTGTTTAGATAGATTTTATAGATTTTTAAAATTTAAAATTAGATATTGAGAGACAAAAGAAATATTTTAACTGAATAAATAAAAATATAATTTATTAATTTTATCCATTTGTATGTCTGATTTTTTATTTTTTTTTGTGTTATAATATAATATATAAGATATAGACAAAGATACCCACAACTTTCATGAAAAATATTATCTGATTTTTTGGAGGAGAGAAAATGAATGCAAGTTTTAATAATAATTTTTTTTTGAAAATTAGTGAGAGAGATTATGAAATATTTTTGTTATCTTCCCATTATTATTTCTAAAATAATTAAATAAATAAATAAGCCAATAGGTTTTTCTAATCTATTTTATAAATTAAAAAATCAATAATTTTAGAATGAGAATTTGGAACTTTTAGGCTTCTCATTAGAAACCCTATTTTTCTTATATAATATATAGATATGGATATTTATATTTGTTTTAGATTTTTTTTAATACACAAATTATTTTTTTTAGATTTTTTATAAAAATAATTTAACAATCTCATCACTAATCATAGTGTATGGGGGGTAGTTGAAAAGGGTGATGAAGTAACTATGAGAGAAGTCAAAAATATTTGTGAGTTGGGAGAAGTCAATAAATGTTGAGGTTATTTATTTTTTTAAAATGAAAAAATTAGAAAATTATGATTGGGATGTTGGAGCTCTTACAAGATTTATGGGTTAGAAACTCCATTTTTATTATATAATACTAGCATATCACCTGTGCTATGCACGGATTATGTTTACAATTATTTATATATGTGAATTGTGATTTTTAAATGTTTTTTTTTTAAATGTCTTCTTTTTTTCTTTTTTTATATTATATTAAAGTTTAATATTTTGATAATAATTATATGTGTTGGAATTTTCAAGAAATTAAATG